CAGCATCAGTTGCCATGTGAAATTCAGCCGCTATAAATTTAAATTCACCCCACCTGAAATCCGATCATACTTTTTACATTGAAATGTGATTCGATCGTAAATTTAGAGCTTTTCCATAAAGCAATACATCCTGTAATAACAATCATTAATCCGCCACAAATTCTAAAAATAACAGATAAGTATTATTAAAATAATAATATTTACAAATATAAATTCACGATAGTAACATGCATACACTAAAGGAATGTCCTCTCCTTGTTCTACTGGAAGTAACGTAAAAATACTAGTAAATAAGCATGAAATTGTCCATGCGACGAACAATATTGAATTCTCGATCCGTATCTTTGATGAAATCAACCACGGCCATAACGCGGCTAATAAAAAACAAATACTCAATGTACTACGTTCAAAATAACTATAAACCTATAAGCAAAAAAAGTTTAACATTCTCATATCACACATTAACAACACTTGATATAAAACTTACCAAAATTTCTAATGCTGTAATGTATCCAATAATATGCATTATTAATGTGAAGATGCTTTGATTGCCCAATGCAGATCTACAGAAGTCTAAAATTACATTTCGCTCTTTTATGACGTCTCTCCAAAAATATACGGGAAATACTACATAAGTGTAGTATGTTAGAGGCGATTCTTCAACATAAAGAACGCATGTTAACAATATTAGGGAAATTATGGAAATGATATTGATCTAATAATCATATAAAATAAGCCAAGGAAAGAATCTCGAATTATAAAAAAAACTAAAAATAATAACATACTAGTAATTCATATGGATCGTCGTCTGCTACAATTAATCGCGCGTCATCATTAAACGCATACTCTTTGAGAGTAAATTTCAAGCTATATACAATCCATCCAACATATCCAGCCGTAACTATAGACCTTAGCATGAACCAGTCATATCTATATATGAAGTACAGTGGAGTATGTTAATTACACAAATCTAGTTTAATTAAAAATATATATATATATATCACACACGTACGTTTGGAAATATCTCAGTCCTTCCAAACAGAGGCTAATTAATATCTTACACAAATTCTCGGCTTCTATATAATTTTCGGTATCGATTAGGTGCTGAATATCTTTTATGAACTTATTGGGGGAATGTGTAGAATTGCTCAGAGGAGCAAATGGTTTGAACATTAATTTTGTTTGCTTTTTTGATTCTAAAGAAAATCAATAAGTTAACAAAAGAAAAAAATCTTAATTATAAGAAACAAAACAACTTGAAGATAAACTAACAGTTCTATTAGCTAACCGTATTTAACTTTGTATTGTTCCAAAATTTCTTTGGCATTTACAAAGATGCTTTGGGCTTTGAACAATGGTGTGTTATCAAGATATTTCAAAGGCAATTCACCAACTGAATTTACAGGATAATTAATCCCTATCAAAGAAGCCTTTAAAAATTGTAATATCCATTAGATTTCATATTACATTATTTTAGCCTTAAATAAGTGCATAGAAATTACCATTAAGGGAGCAATATCAGCTTGAAGTATATCATTACGTTGAACACTATTTAATTGCCAATCCATCGAAAATTCATCATGCCCGCTTGGATTTTCCTTGTTAGGTTTATTTATCCCTGCTCCCCATGCAATTATTGGAGTACGTGTGTTATCCGGATGTCCATCACCATGATTGCCTGATTATATACGCAAATTAGAATCAAATAATCAACTAATTTAATAGTTCTTCATATTATAACTTGCTTACCCCTATTGCTCATTCCATGATCAGAAGTAAAAATATAAGCCGTCTTCTTATCGTTTCCGTAAAATTTATCGAGTAATTGTATTGTTTCGTAAATTCCATCATCAACTACTTTAATATTATTCAAATACTCTTCTGAATGAGGACCATGAGCATGACCATTTGTATCCAAACCAAGCAAATGTAAAAACATAACTATTTTATCATCATGAAGTTGTTGATAAAGTTTAGGATCAGATGACGAGTTTGAAAAAAGTTGGGCAAATTGGTTGAATGTCCACGTGTCTAATTCAGCGGCATCTAAGAAAATAATAGATTAAAACTAAAGAAGTATGTAATAGAAATAAGAATTTAAGAAACTACCTTCAGCAAAGTTTTCATTTTCGTGTCCATACATAAAAGTGTCAACCCTTTCTGGATCCGAAGCACCCTCAGCAAACATAGGTAATATGTCCGGTGAACCAAATGACCATGTATGCCTGCTTTGATTAAACACAGAATCAAACTCTACAGGATTCATTTTCCAACCTATGGAAAATAAATTGATAAATCAGATAAAAATTTCAAATTAAATTATTACATTGATTATTGATACTATGATAAAACCTTTCGTAACAGCACTAACATCCTCATAAAATCCCGCAATTATTGCAACGTGGCCCGGCCTTGATTCTGTAGGAACTCTCGTGTGAGAAACTCCCCATCTTCCATGATTAAGTACTATATCCCTTAAAAAAGGGGCCCTTGTAAATAGACCACTGTTGGTTTCGTTTTGATACAATTGATATAATTTATCCGCTCTTAAACCATCACCTATACAGAATTATATTAGTTGTAGTTATATACAGTAATACTAAATTTCACGTAAGAGTTAAAATTATGTTGGCGCATTATTATTTCTAATAGAATCTTACCAACAAAAAGCACAAGTCTTCGTGCAGGTGGTGGTAAATCAACCTAATCCGAATACTGTAAATATCTTTAAATTCTCGAAATAGAGGGTGAATTATAGGTTTTTTACCTTATGTGGGGTCATACCATGTACCAAAGGTGACGTAAAATATATGTCGAAAATACTCCATATGTACGTCACATGAAATAAAAGCCCAATACACAAAAGTAAGTTTCTTGTTCCCTTTGCCATAAATTATATGTTCTTTCGGTGAGTAAATGTAGCAAGAAGTCGATTTTAAACTCACGGGGAGACCGTCCAAATAAGGAAATAGGTTGCACGAACGTTTCGATTCCGGCCAATCAAGCTTCAAATATACGCGAATATTAACGATAATCTATACTATATATTAAAAATCCATTTTTTTTTGTAACGGCCATGATCGGGATTATCCGTTTATGTAATCTACATGCGCCCGGGTGGGTCAGGCAACCGAGTCTGATTTACTTATTTGCGCTTGTGATTTTTTTTTAGAATTTACGAATGAGAAACGAGATGGAAATTAAAGGTATGACATTTGCCCGTTATACAAACTATAGAATTAATGAATTAACGTTAGTCATTATTGAAAGGTAAACAAATCAGTATGAGATCGAATTCAGAATTTAACGATCTTTTAAAACTACTAGAAAAAGAAAACGATTATAAATACGAAAAACTTAAATCAAAGAAAAATTGATAAGATAAAAAACTTTTGATTCTTTATTTGTATATTTTTTTTACATTAAATTATTTGTAAAAAACAAAATAATAATAATAATAATAAATAAAAAATAAGACTAATTTATAACACTGATATTGAATGATTTGCTATTCGTGTTATCTAGTTTCTTGCCAAGCTAAAGTACTGATTGATCGCATCGGGAATGCTTGAATCAAAGTATAAAATATTAAATTGTTAAATATTTATATATTTAAAAAAAAAATAAATAAATAAAATTATAAAAAATATATATACCTGCTAGTTCATCATATTACGCTTTTGGCAAGTTGGTTATGCTCGTTGAGATTTCTAATATTAAAAAAAAAAAAAAAAAAAAACTTAGTAAGATAAACTCTGTAAGCAATACAATTACATCTAGTTAGCCAGAAATATACTTTTTTAAAAAACAATTTCCATAAGACAACTCACACCCGGCGATAGTCAAAATTGACTGGCGTAGCCGTTTCCAGGGCTCATGTTCCCTGAATGTGAATATGTCTTATGGTACTATAAGTGAAACCCAAAAACTCCTTCGGAATTGGCATCCTTATAATAGCCAAAGGCACCATGTTTCTGAAAAAGCAGGGAAACTGGCCAAGAATCCAGAAAAATATTGTAAAAATTACTTACTTTTTTCGTCATGTTACGCTTTTTTACGCTCGTTGAGATTTCTAATATTAAAAAAAAAAAAAACTTAGTGAGATAAACTCTGTAAGCAATACAATTACATCTAGTTAGCCAGAAATATACTTTTTTAAAAAACAATTTCCATAAGACAACTCACACCCGGCGATAGTCAAAATTGACTGGCGTAGCCGTTTCCAGGGCTCATGTTCCCTGAATGTGAATATGCCTTATGGTACTATAAGTGAAACCCAAAACCTCCTTTGGAATTGGCATCCTTATAATAGCCAAAGGCACCATGTTTCTGAAAAAGCAGTGAATCTGGCCAGTAAATTACTTACTTTTTTCTCGTAGATATAGTCTCAGACACGACACTTGCTAAATCACCACGTTGCGTCTCTGGAATTTCCTGCTTCGTGAAGTGTATCTTCGTTCGTCATTAAGTTCGCCCGTAACATCATTCAAAAATCTGCTAACAAAAAAAAAAATGCTATATAAAGATTATTTTGACTTTAATAAAAAGAAGTAAACTTATTATAATTAAAATAGTGCCATTTGTTTATTTTTATGATTACGATAAAACACGATTATTAACCAATCAAATCAATACCTGATATTTGAAAATCAAAATAACTGTGATACGTATTGTTTGATATATCGATATTGATCATGATTGCCAACCAATTAAACCAATTAAATCAAACTACACAGTCTCATTTGACAATACGGACAATACGTAAG